GAGGCTCGAAGAACCGGGGGTTAATGTATTAGAGTAGATAATATAGAGTAAGATTGTAGATAATGAGGAACTTCTTGATAAATACTTGTAAACAAAGTTCTTTTAGTATATGTAAATCTAGGTATATAATATAGGAATAGATACCCATCTACCTATCTAATTACCTATCTAATACTCTATAATCATATATATGATTGTAAAAGAAGGGATACTGGTTAGAACTCAGAGGATCTGATTTGGAAGTTAAAACATAGATAGATCCCTGGATATAATATCTATAATATTATACCTATCTATCTATCTATCTATCTATAGCCCTGAAGTACAGAGGTAGATCGAGTAGAAATGGAGAAATCTACTTAGGTATATTAAGGTTATTGTGACACGGATACGGTATAGTAACTATATTCGAACAGAATTTCGAGTTCGGAGGAAGCAGGTGTTAATGGATTACTCGTACCAGTAGTGAATATAACAAAAGATAGAAAGATAGAATAATCGAAAGAAAGAAAGAAAGAAAGAAAAAGAGGGAGGAAGGGATTTTATTTCTTGTTTTTCGAGTATAGTTAATTTGTTAGTTATAATATAAGTAGATATGAGATATAATACTCGAGTAGATGCAAGATAGGAAAATCATATAATCATATAATCATTTATCTACCAAGGAAATAACTCACGATATGATATCAAGGAAAAGTAATAGAGTACGTACAAGATAAAGAAAGAGATGCCGGGAATGTATACTCGTATATGTATATATACGGAGTACTGGTATATATATGTAGATAGGTATTCGTAACGTTATTCAGTATATCTAACAGTTATATATAGAGGCCTGCTTAGGTTGATGGATGGGACGAGGTGATTTGATGAATGAATTATGAATGAATTACTGTATTTCTACCCAAGGTTAGGAAACTAGGAAAGTCAAGGCGGAAGAAAAGAGGAAGAAAAGGAAAACAAGCACTCATTCAACAACACCTCTGCGATTCCCTTCCCTTCCCTTCCCTTCCCTTCCATTGCTTGTGAGTTGTGTCAATAAATTATTGGAGCAAAAACAGGAGAGGAATATTTCTCGATTTCGTGTCTGAAGAATCATCAATACATACATACCTACCTACCTACCTACCTACCTACTCG